GGGTTATATATATATATATATATATATATATATATATATATATATATATATATATATACACACATATTGCATACATAGTAAGTTTAATGGCTTTGAATATGTGCCATGCCATCACTGATAAATGAACAGCATTGTATGTTCTCGGCAATGTCTCTCCACTTTTCACTGAAGTACTGTAATGCAAGTCTCACTGCTGGGCAACCTGTTTTACTAGTCATACATTGTCCCCAGTTATTAATCTACTATTCCACAATTATCTCTGCATATGCTCTTAGTCATAGGTTTAGAACATTGCCTGCGCTTGTCTGTCTGTAGTGTTATGTCAGCCAGGCATACAAGCCAACACAATCATAAAATGTGATTCAAATGTCCGGGGATGGCACAGTAAAATAATTGGCACGGGTTACTTTGTTCTGTCTTAGTATTTTCATCCTCACAAACAAGTCTGATGCAATATTCAAATCATAATTATGAGGCTAGTTAACATGACATTTGCATTTAAGTGGATTTTTTTTTCTTACATTTGCCTTATTCACATTATCTGCATGCAAACATAGATTTTTAAAAGTTAAACTCATGATACATCTGTATTCCTAATTCTAATGAAAGTATCACTATGTGTAGTATACAGTTAAATTATACTGTTGGGCTATGCTTTTATTTTCTCTGAGATGTTGTTGCATCTGTAGCTGTGTACAGAAATAAAAAAAAGAGCAATGGTGAACATTTGGTTTTTAGACTGTTTAAGAGCTAGGTCTAGGATTGTACATCATTTGACATTCAACATCTGTGATGGACCATTGAAGATGTATTTAATCTGATATGTATAGATCTATCTATCTATATAGATAGATCTATCTATCTAATATAGATAGATAGATCTATCTATATAGATAGATAGATCTATACATATCAGATCTACATACATAGATCTATCTATCTATCTATCTATCTATCTATCTATCTATCTATCTATCTATCTATCTATCTAGATCTATCTATATAGATAGATCTATGTATATGGATCTATCTATCTATCTAAATATATCTATTGCAACACATGGTACCGCAATGTTGTGCGCTGCAAATTAAAAAATGCACCTCCCACACGGTAACTATATATATATATATATATATATATCAATTGCTAAAGATCTGTTGAGATAGATAGACAAATACAGCACATAGATAGATAAATAGATAGATAGCTAGACATGATGATGAGTTCCAAATGTCACCTTTTAAATATGGTTTGTGGATCCTTGTAGGAAATCAGGGTAATAAATGCATTTTTAGTATGCCGTCTCTTCAGTTACTATACTATGAGACACCTATTACGTTAACGTCTCGTGCTAACACCTAATGAATGGTATGATATAGACTTATTTGATTATATATCTAAAACAATTAATCTTTTTGTCATTGCTCAGAAAATTTGCCCATTCTGCCGTCTTATTTCCTCCCTCATACAAGCTGCTGTCCATCAGTTCCATCAAGGTTATATCATATCAGGCATCATTGATAAATGAGCCAAAGGGAAACTTGGTGTTCATCAGCTCAAGAACTTTCAAGCACATGAAAACACCTTGGTAGAACGTGAGGTTAAATATCCCTTGAAGGGAAGAGTTGAGGAGCATTTTTATTGACTGGTCCAGATTAAACACCAGAGAGAAAGATTTCAATTTGATAACGTCACATCCCTTCCTGTTTTTCTTTGCTTTTTCTACTGACAATTTTGTAAGGTAATTAAATTGGCTGATTGAAGTCACAGTGGTCATGGGGTGATAAAGACTATTTGGATTTAATGGAATTTAAAAACAACAGCGAATAGCATACAACTCTTACCGACCAAGAATTCTAATGGCCCGTTCAGGTGCTGAATAAATAGAACATGCTTGTAAGTTTAATTGAAAGGGCAAACTGGATTAGCTGTATACCATCTTTATAGAGGCAGATAGGGGAATTAAAATTATTATCCCTTTAAAAGAGTCATTATTACATTATTAAGATTTAATATGGGTTAACTAAGCTTGCTTCAGTATAGTTTCTGGGATTAAAAGTATTTAATAACAACTAAAGCACTGCGTTAGAAAAAAAAAACCTGCTTATATTTTGTAACCCAGTTATTGCTTTGGTATGCAGGATGTAACACCAACACTACGTTAATTAT